GTTTGTAAGTGATGGATTAACGCGCGGAGCGGAATTCCCCGCTGCATCGTGCTTCATCCCCTCAAAACAGTCCCCTGCATGAAAATCTCGAGCTCCTCCGAGCTTGCCTGCTAGGTTCACATGCGACTGATTACTATATCCCGCGTTACGTGCGTTAAGATCCCTATTTTGTTACTTACGCGAGCGGAATTTATTGCTTTGAGTCTACGTCGTTGCTGTGTCAACAGGTGGCACTCATCATTTTACATAAACATATTATGAAATATGTGCGAGGGGCGTGTGATAAAGAATGCATCATCCAGAGATATCGACCTACCAAGCCGCGACACTTATGATCACATTCGCGATCGACCCTAAGAATGCTCGCGACATTTTCATTGCTGCTTCCACTTGCCATTTGATTTAATAATCATTCACAAACGCAAAGTAAAATAATAATTTTTTTTGTAAAGCATACTTGCTGCGCATGTTGTACGTTATTTGTTGTCGTATACCTATACTCACTGAGAATATGCCAGATGGTGAATTAATAATGTAGTTCTCGTTAAATTCACTTTGATAATACGATTCAACATAATACAATGCAATTTAATATGTAATGCGATATAATTACACGATTCGATAATACGCGATAATGGATTAAATATTAAAATTAATATTATTTGTGTTGCCTTTTATCGGGTTAAAATTCCTTCCTTCGTGGAAGCGATAGCGGATGGATTAAAATATCGATGCCCGATCAAATGCCGGTGCCTTTGCATTTCTGTGATGATCGTTTCGCTTCTCGCGGTCACAACGAATCGTATTCTCGAACGCGCAATTCCGCAAGAGCTCTCATCCCGATTTCATTATCGGTAAGTCGCCGCGATCTAATTATTGCCGACACGACGTTATGCATCTACAATGAGGGATAATTATTTTAATTATCCCCAGCGACCGACGACAAACGGGCTGCATCTTTACAGGCGGCGCGGCCAGCGTTCCTTCTCCGTCGCTTTTCTTTCATTAAGTGGTATCTTCCTCTTCGCCCTCCCGGCCTCTTTTATCCTCCCAACGCCCTCTCGCTATCCTTACGCTTCGCATAATCTATCGCTTCGGGTTAAAATCTAAAATACACAAGCGTTCAATCTCCCACCCTCCCTTTATCCTTTTGCTCGCTCTCTCCTTCTCATCGCTTTTCTCAGATGCGTTTCATTCTCCGTATCCTCTCACAATCTTCTCTCGTAACGTCAAAGTATGAGAGGCTTTGCCAGCGTTTATATGTTAACTCTGTCATTTGTAAGAACGACGAACGAAAATGCCTTCGCGGCGTACATTTCAAAGGCCCGTAGCGTCCGTCCATCTCTTGCCATCATGCGTGCACGCAGCCCACCTACTTTCTCATGCCCTTACATTCTCTGTCTCTTTCTCTTCCTCTTCTCTTCCGTAAAAATATCATTCTCCCTCGCCCTCGCTGCTTTCCTCTACGTCTTTTGCGTTAGCTTTGCGGCTAGATGGAAAAAAATAGGTGGGCTGAACGAAATGACAAGAAGGGGGAGACGCGAGGGGGCAGCCGCGAGTGGCGCGGGGAAGAGAGTAGAAACATCGTTCGCGAAAGCTTATTTCCACGCTCCTTCGGCAAGAACGGATAGGTCTCCTTTATCACGCTCGCAATATACCACGAAGGTAGCTACCACTCGCAAAGGTATCCCGGATACGAAGCACGCTGCTTTTAGAAATATCGTCCCTGCTAAGCGACGACGCCACCGCCGCCGACGACAGCGGCGGTGACGGCGGGCGGCGGCGGTCGACGCGCTCAACGGGCGGTCGTCGCGACGACGCACACTCATGGGGCAACGCTTTTTCTTGCTCCGGGTTGTTGTTTCACCGCGGTATAAACCCGCTTTTCTGACGGCAACAAACTTCGCGCGAGAGTAAACGCGCCAGTCAAACCGTGACGAAACGACGTGCCCCTTTTTAGAGCCTGGCCGTGTCCTTACATTCCGCATTTAACACCAACACATCGAACGATACGATTTTGCTCCTGAATGCAATTTGCATTTGAGACGCTCTTACTGGACTGAATGTAATTCTACGCTTGATTACGACGAATTTATACTTGCAGTTAGTTCGACATTCGTATAAAAAAAATACCAGATATTACATAGAACTTTCATTAATGTACATTCGAGACAAAGTGAACACACACGGTGTGCACATTTAATTCCCGAGAGCTAACTCTTCAAACAATGGCAATAAACTATTACGTATTCTCTCTCATTACATTAGGTATTGATTAAACAATAACAATGGAATTAGATTATCTTTCATTACATTGTATCGGAAATGTGTGCGTAATCAACAAATCGCTTTTATGAGGAACTGATGAGGAACTGATGAGTGTCAGTTTCTCACAAAGATTCACACATCGAATCGATTCGGTGAAAGCAACGGTAATACATTCGGCAATCTCATGTGAATCATCGTATAACATGGACATGTGAATGTCAGTCTCGCTCGATTCGATTACTATTCGTCGACTGATTCTACTATGAAAACGTGCTCTGTTATGCATAGAATTACAAGCGAATCCAGAAACTATCTAGGGCACATTGTTAAATGTAATTATCGAATAATTTTTTCCATAAAATGCACAAATCTAAAATTCCAGATTTTATTACAATTAATTTGCCTAAACATTTTCTTTTTGAAAAAGAAATTGGTCGCTGAATGAACCTCTCAACCATAATACCGTAACTCAGAGAATTGGCGTGACGAAACTTGCTTGATGTGGCTATCATCTCGTAATTGTGTATTTTTTATCGTGCAGTTTTAACAGCTTTGTCACGTGTTTACTCCTTTTGACTCGCGAATGCTCGTATAATCGTCATCATAGTTTTATAGTAGGCGATCCCCTCCGGGGCTCTATTCCGTCCGTGGGTGACCTTTGCTCACGCGCAAAATATTCACCGTCCGTTTGCGTTTGTGCTCGTGAAGGATTCCTTAACAGTATTGCCGGAGACGGGGACGGAGAGGCAGACGCGCCATTTTCAGCACGTTTGTCCTCGCATAGAAACACCCTTTTACGATTCCGCCAAGCCCTGCGAATCACCCCCGGGAATTCAGGTTTTATAGACCTTTTGCTGCACGGGCGAAGCCGCTCGGACCAGAAAATTACGCTGCACTGTGTTCCGCCACGTTCAAATGGAATCTTTAACGAAACGATTTAAGCGGTCGCGGATTTTCCTGTGTACGTGTTCACAGCTGCTACGCGAATCATATTTATTTTTGACCTGTTCACCGTTCGCTACGATTTCACGATAAGTTCCTATTTCTCATTTTATTTTTCGCACGTCACGGCGCTTTGTAGAAAAAAAAAGAAATAGACGAAAAAATTTAAATTGCATAAGGTTAAGAGTTCATCGTACGTGCAACATGCAACATTTCCGAGGGTTTCCTTTTTTGCCCCTCACAAGGCATTTCCGTAAGGATAGCGAGATAATTGAAAGACCCTTACGCGCGACACGGTGGCGGCGGCGGTGGCGCGCGGAATAATTCCGGGTCGCCGTAAGGAAATTAGATTCAGCAGACAGAAGTTAGGAGACGAAAATGGAAAAAGCTAGTTCTGAAAGCTTTTGGATGTAGCTGTTTAAAACGCGCCCGCTCTATACACCGATTTACGCAAATCCGCTCGCGCAAATCGAGCCATTGGCTTACAATTTCTTTTCTCTCCCTTTTCTCTCTCTCTCTTTCCATCTCCTATGTGCACAGTGCCGGAAGTCAATAACACTCAGTCATGCTAATCAAGCTTTTTATGTACATTATTAATATTTTTACGTATGTTTGTAGTACACAGCAACTGAATTGTCATAAGCGTGACGCGTTTACTGTTATCGCGACGACTTTGAAATAACACAAATGTATACTTCTCGCGATCATAGTATTTCACTTTATTTGTGACGGTAATTAAACCGAGAAAGTATCGTCCGAGCTCAAAGAGAGAAATTAATATGAATAGTTTTATGCTCTAGTGGACCAAGAGACAAAATTATTAGAAACGGAGCAATTATCATACAAATTTAGTAAATTAATTAGGAATATGTCGTAAGAATAATCTCTGTAGCATTCAGAGCTTCTAGATAACAGAACTTTTCGAGATTTCGAGAAAAATGAAGAGAAATAATCGTGGCTGTCCATGCAAAATATTATGCCTTAATCAGCAACCCTAAAGGAAGCTCTAATCGACATCCATTATACGAACTTGTTTCAACTTGAGAATGCGTGGTAATGCTGCTTTGTATACGCAAATAGACACGAACATGCGACTAATGCAGATGTGTGATGCCGGTTTTTGTAACCGTTAGTCAGCGGTTACAACGAATCCAACAGTCTATTGCGGTTTGAAAATACAATCTCCATTCGTAATCCTCCTGAGATTACTCTCGTCTAAGCCAAATCGGTTAATGTCACTCTCACCGTACACTGTCGCACGTATTCATCCTGATTTTTACTCGTCAGTGCTGTTAAGTCGCGTAATTATTCTTTTCAGAGAATTTTGAGTTTGCGTTATATTTCTATTGGAAATTATTTTAAATAATGTGTCTAAATTTAGCCTCAATGTAAAATGCTCTTACTTTAAATATAAAAAATTTAAAAAGATTGTATTTCTTTTTTTAAGGGAGAAAAACTGAAACTAATTGCTGCAACAAATTATTTTATCTTTTGAACTACAAATTAAAGCAAATTTATTTTGTTTTAAGTGAATAACTTCGCTAGAAGTATAAGTTCGATATTAATAGATAAATTCCTTTCAGTTTCTCTCATCTATCAGTTTATCTTGATATCGTCTTTAAGCACCGATTTTGATTTTCTTTTGCTTCAATCAAAGTTTTCAATATAACACGTTCTTTTGTGTACAGTTTTAACTCTCCAGTGTGTATCGATACTTTGATGAGTAAAAGTAGATATTGACGAATAAAACCTGAAAGATTAATCTAATTTTTACGTTCAAATCTATACAGGGCAGCAGTAACAGCCGTGTCTTGGCACCCGCACGGCATGTACTTGGCATCTGTCGATCGTGCCAAGACGGTGACGGTTTGGGGCGATCAAGTTTGACAGGAGGTGTGATCCCGGGACAGACGATTATTGTTTCACGCATGAAGATCTCGTGCCGTTCGTATCGGCCTTCTCGCGGCTGTGAAATGAAGCGGTCGCGCGCGCACACTTGCGATTCACGGCCGCAATCCAGCGAGATTTCACGGCGGGCATCCAACAGAAGGATAATCAAAATTATTGGTCGGTTCGGCCGCACGGGTTATAAAGCCATGTAAGGCCACCGTTTTGAGAGCTGTAAAGCGCAGACACCGCGCCGAACAAATCTGGAAGCGCGGTAGGGACTATTGTACATAAAACTGCACTTATTGTTACTCCCAGGTTGTAAAGATTCCCTTTTTAGAATAGTATCTGCGCGCTTCAGCCGCGCCGCGCCGTCTACCCGCAGGAAATTTCAGAGATCATCATAGTCACTGGTGTTTTTCAGGATTCGATAGATATACGCTTCCTTCGCTAACTGTAACAGATACGGTCGCGTGTTGTCGTCTGTGCGAATTCGGGGTGTCTATACGTGACATCCATAGTGTTATAACAAGATGTTTGCGAGAGTTGCATATTAACCGGTTAAATGTACCAGAATTATTTTTGTTTACCAAAAAGTCAATTATCGAGATACTTTGTAGAAGTTGCCGAATGTTGTCGACATTTGAGTGCGACGGAAGATATTTTTCGGGATACGATGAGGTGAGCGAGCAAACATTAATGTAAGAACGCGCTTAGATCTTTGAGAATGAGATTACTTCCCCGGAATTAAATATGCATTATTAAAAACTTTGCGAGCCATTTAATGCCCGCAGAAGCCGATTAGTTTTAGTTTCATCTCATATTTAATATGTTTGCGTATTGAGAATTATTTTAAATATGAAGCAATCTCATAAATTTTTTTCTCTATAATGCAAAGTTAATTCTGCTGGAGTAATCTTACTTATGAATGCGTCTCCATATGTGTGCTATAATTCGTTTCATCGCCAGATTCTCCGACGTCAGTGAAACTCATATACGTCAAACTCTTAATACAAGTCTGACAGAATAGAAATCGGGATATAGGAATTAATCAAGCAAGCACAATAACGGTACGATATTGATACTAATTGCATTATACACATTTGCATTGATTTACGTAATTAACGGTAGGGTATATCGTACACTGTGTCGAAGTCATTATTTTTACTGATAAATGCAACGATTGGCTAATGAAATTTATTTACACGCCCATACCATTTTTTTGTTAGAAAATAAGCTGCTGAATATTAAAGCCTTAGGGACAATTATAATTGTCTGATCGAAGAGGTCCAAGTGTAACATTGTATCTTTCTAAAACGTTGAATTTTTGCAATTACGATAGTTTACTCATTTTTTAGTATTTATGACAATCATACATTTTGATTACTGCGTGTATCGTGCTAATATTTTACTACGTCCATTACTCAGAAGTAATATGCACTGCATTTTGTTTTACCACACAAATTTATATTTTGCAAATGTTTTTTACTGCTATTTTTATGGAGCTCTTCGGTCACTATTTCATATTTATTACGTATGTACTTGCGCGTAAAGTTACAATGTCTAAAGTGGTTTTGGTTTAAAAATTGTATACATCCATTCACGAATCACATTATGAAATAATTATTTAAGAGCCCGTTTTTATATCATACAATTAAATCCTCACGTACAATACTTTTTTTTTATCTGCGAGTCGTTGTTAAAGGCGATTAACTTCCAATTAGCATATAAAGAATTGGTCATTGATTTGCATAACACTGGAAGCTTAATTTCTTAATATCGAATTTTATTTCGGCTACATTTTTTTTAAACAAAGATGAAAGTTATCTTAGCTAATCTTATTCTAAAAAAATAATTATTCACTTTCATTCTCTTACTCGATCGAGAAAAATTTATCGATTCTATAATCATCATTATAGAATTATTAACACATCACAAGTTAATAATTTTACAATTAACATTTTGGAAACTTCATATCGTTAAATCTTGTATCAACGTAATTTATTTAACACACATGATTGACAATCATTTTGCTGCATTTCTTAAGAACGCAAGCCAATGACCACGCCTTTTTGTCATCACGATAATAATTAGCGACTCGCGTTTTGAGCAAACTGTAACCAATTGCGTCCAAAGTATTGTGTAATGATTTTAATACTATACTATACTTACACTTCATTTTTGATTCGATTATTAAACCTAGACACTGTACTCTCCTTTTCTCTGTATACAATCTTAGCAGAAATGCTATATACATTGTTCACATATGTAAATATATATAAACGTTTCCCTCTTGTATTTTGTAAAAAATGCGTCTTATTCTTTCAGTACTGTTTATCAAATCCTAATTCCACTCCTATTTACTCCTGCATTTTTCAGTAACTTAGACGAAGGGAAAGAAGCATGATACTCTTAACGATAGCAAGATATGTTTATTCACGGTAAGTAACCAAGAGTACTCATTATTTACAAGACATTATTAATAATGACATTGCACGTAAAATATAAAAAATGCATTACGTGACTTAAGACGATGACGACCCTTCAAACTCTTAATAGCCGCGAGACTGTCAATAATTCTAAATCGATCATTCCATTTCAGTCTACTTTTTGCACCCTATTACTCTTCACCCGGGAGAGAAGTGGCTCATTCACCACACCCTAATCCCGATTTTCGCTCCCGCCGTCTCTTTGGCACGCGCATGTATAACACCCCCGTTACGTATACATACACAGCCGCGTGTGTACGTGTATGAGTATGTATATCACGATCCTCTCACAGAAGCTCTCTGCGGCATTGCGCAGCAGCCGTGTATCTGACAGTACCTAACGTGCTTTCGAAAGCGCTCATTAGTCACTGAAATGCGGTCACGAAGTGACAACTCGCACGTGGAATATTATACGCTCCAAGAACTTGCATCGGTACTCATATCGCGGCTCGCGTCCGCGTGTTCGCGCTCGCGCCGCCACGTCTCTCTATCTCTCTCCTCTCTACCTCTGTTTGTAACTTTCGTATTATACACCCTTTGTCCGCGATTCGACAGTTTCGACAGTTTTGCAATGGAACGTGAGAACGCAGCAGCCCGGTCGAACGGCCGTCGAGAGGGAGAGAGGAGGGGGAGAGAGAGAGGAGGAGAGGA